TCTCTCTCTCTCTCTCTCTCTCTCTCTCTCTCTCTCTCTCTCTCTCTCTGTATCTAAGTATATCTATAGGTACACATGTCAATAGATAGCCACAAAGAATGGGATATACATTTCTTTATTTGAAGACGTATATAAAGGATGGCTCTATTCATTTTATGGAGGTGGTAGGCGAATCAACCTATGATTTTCGTTCAGTAAAAAAGGATCTGCTATATATCGACAGTCTTTCAACACTGGGCTTTATTGAGCTGCTCAAGAGAAATATACAATAGATGGGATTTACATAGATATACATGTATATAAGGTTCGCAGATGATTCCTAGGTGGCGGCATCCTTCTCCTTGGCCGTGGCCACAAAGAGAATGTTGAGCTTGCTGCTGATGGGTCGCTTGCTGTCCTCGTGCTTCACGTGCAGCGTGCCCGAGTCGAGGCTGAATGTGCCGACCAGCTGGCCGGGCTTGAGGTAATAGTTCTGGCCCATCGATGTGGGCCGATGCTCCGTAATAAAATGATACAGCATCGGCTCGGCAATGAATATCTGTGGCTTCGTTGTGCTGGCCGTGGGCCGGGCGAAGCTGTGCATTGCCAGCATCGACAGCGACAACAAAATCCAAGTGAACTGCATGACGAGCGATGAGCGATGAGCGATGAGCGACGAGCGATGTGCAGACGATGGCAACAAGTTGGCATCTGAGGAATTGCAACGGGTCGAAATATATATATATACATGTATTCTGGATGCAGCTGCAGCATTGGGCCAGGGCAACGGCCCTTCTATGCGCTTCTCACGCACGACTCTTCCTTGCTTGCACGCCGTTATTCGGGCATAACAAGTTTCTTCGAGGGTCCATTAACATTAACCCGATTCGACAAAAAGAGGAAAAATCAAAATGCAATACATGAAATACAACAAAAAAGAAACTATATATGTACATATATACTTATATGAATATGAATACATATATGTATATGTATGTATGTATACATTGCTTTTTTAGCGCTCCCAATTCAGCAGCACAAAAGGCATTCAAGAAAGATGAGAAAGAGGTAAGAAATGAAAAGAAGGCACAACAAACTCACGCAACAAAAAATAATCTTTGCAAATTACGTTTGTCGTATCAGGTTTTATATACCATATATAATACATATACATATATCACATGTATATATGTAAGTTGATAAACTTATAATAGTAGTTGGTGCACATAATATAAATAACACATAATCAGCTTTGTATTTGCTTGTATTGGTTCAGCTAATTGTTAACTTTTCGTAAATACCCTGTAAACTACCCTGTAAAGGGGTGTGTTTAGGACACATCAAATACAGCTACAATTCGTTTATCTAACTTGTGGTTAGGGTATATTGTAGTCGTTCAACTGCAAATATAGCTACATTTCGTTTATCTAACTTGTGGTTAGGGTATCGTGTAGTCGTTCAACTGCAAATATAGCTACATTTCGTATATCTAACTTGTGGTTAGGGTATCGTGTAGTCGTTCAACTGCAAATATAGCTACATATCGTTTATCTAACTTCTGGTTAGGGTATCTTGTAGTCGTTCAACTGCAAATATAGCTACATTCCGTTTATCTAACTTGTGGTTAGGGTATATTGTAGTCGTTCAACTACAAATATAGCTACATTTCGTTCATCTAACTTGCGGTTAGGGTATATTGTAGTCGTTCAACTGCAACTCTTCGTGTCTGTTTGCAATTAATACATATTCAGTTCAATTCGAATAGCCAATAAATTGACTGCAAATATTTGGAAAAAGAATTGGTTAATTAAATATCAAGAAGATATAAAGAATTTGACGTATAGCAAGAGAACGAGAGCCGAACGACATGCGGGCCGCGTCAATTAGAAGAAAAACTCTGGAAATAAATCTTAGCGCGCTTGAGTTATTCCACAGCTCATTATCTCAGAGACACCCGCCATAGTATACCACTAAGTCTATGCCATAGTTAAGCTCCCCTGGCTCTGGGTCGATAGTGAAAGTCGATTCGGTAGTCAAATTGCATTTAATCAAGTTGGACAATGCCAGCTTAAATATTTGCTAAATGAGTTAATGTTTACATTTTTGCTAAGCAGAACGTGTTTTTTTATTGTTATTATTATTATTATTATTTATGCTGTCATTAATGATTAGCAATTCGAAGGAGGAACTTCATGCGGGTAGATATATTACGAGACTCTTTAAGCGCTCAACACTAATTGTAGAGATTATAGAAGTAGAAGAGAGAAAGAGAGAGAGAGAGGGAGAGATAGAGAGACGGTTACTAACGAAAGTGGAAGTAGCAATAGCAAAAGACTAAGCTGAAAATAATGTAGTCATACTAGCAAAAAAAAAAAGTATGCCAAGTTTAGTAGAAGAAAGAGTAAGAGTGGAAGTAGTGAAAAAAAATATAATAGATGTCAACTGAGTATTAAATACAGATGGAGTAGAGGCTAAAGCTGAAGTAATAGTCGAAATAGAAATGGTAGAAGACGCTGAGGCAGCAATGGTATAACAACTATTTATATTAGAAGACAGAGAAAGACCTGGAAGTAGTATTAAAAGTAGAACAAGTAGTCGAGTTCAAATTGGCAATCAAAGTAGAAATAGTCGTAGTAGTAAGACTTCCTGTAGCAGTAATTTAGGTAGAAATAGTATATGCAAATACTAAATAGTAGTAGAATATTGATAGTAGCAGTATTGGTATAGTAGTAATAGTAGATAAGTAGTAGCAGTAGTAATGGGATAGTCGTATATAAAGAATAGTAATAGAAGTGGTAGAGTAGTAGAAATAATAGTATGCAAGCAGAGGTAAATAGTAGTATATTAGTAGAAATAGTTGTATGCAATGACAAATAAAACTATGGTAGTAGACATATAAGCATGGTAGTAGAAATAGTAGTAGAGCAGTAGAAACGTAGTACAAGGTATCAACATAGAAATTGTGTATAGTAGTACCAATAGTATTAATATCAAAATAGAAATTATATTATAGTAGTAGAAATAGTAGTAGTATTCTAGTTGAAATATGTGATGCAATAATAGGAGCAGAAATAGTAATATAAAATTATAAGGATTATATGGAATTCATGTCTAAATACAGAAATAGTAGTTGAAGTATTTTAAAGTAGTATGAATAGTAGTAGATATAGTAGTAGAAGTATAAGTATTAGGAAACGTTGTAAGCAAAGCTTATGATGCAGTGCACGGAGAGTATACGTAAGTTAAATACAATTTATCTCTAATTTATTCAGTAGTAAAAGTAATAGTAACTCCAAAGTAAATCAGATAAAGTAAATAATACAAAACTACATAGATACGTACATATATACATATGTATGTACATACATATTCATGCCAACATATATTAGCTAATACATATCTACAATAAACTGATCTTGGCTAAGCGAGGCAAACAACTGCCAACACCGCTTTGGCTCTATCAACACCCATCTGATATATATAGTATCTGGGTTGGGATAACGATCTACAAAATTGGGCGCATAATTTAAAATTGCGCCCATAAACGAATTGTTTGCTACGTTGTTATTTGTATTTGTTTCTGGGTTCCTCACCATTTGCTGGGCACGCAATGATATAAACACTGTACGAATTATAATTAATGTCCAATGTGAGTAATCGTCGCCTTCAGCCCGAATAAAGCATTCAAACGTTCAAGCTTTCAGCCAAGATTAAGTGCCAAGTCCCATGCCCCAACTGCAGGCCCGCAGCTACATACATATGTCAGTCTAAATCAGCAAATCAACATAGAGGCGATGCCTCTCTACCTCCACCTCCACCTCTACCTCTACCTCTACCTCTACCTCTACCTCTACCTCTACCTCTACCTCT